TGATTTATTTATACTACTATACTCAGAGAAGAATTAACTCCTATAAACTGTATACGACTACAACACGCATGTTAAAACCGTAATATCAAAATTGAATTATGACCGTTGACATATATTTTATAACAAACGTCATAATTAAAACTTATTTGAACGACAATGATTTATACAACTGTTATCATTTCGTTAGGTCCGCATATAAATAAATTGTATAACCCGTGCAGCTTTATCAGGACTCATACTAGCTATAGGGTCGAAACCAGAAGGTTATTTTAAATAGACATGGCTATGTATAATAGTACAAGATCCACGGCCGCAGAGCACTATATTACTTAAATAAACCCATTATTAGTTAGAAAATAGTATACCCGTCCATCAACGTGTAAATATTTGTTATCATATGATAACAAGATTTGCCGAACGAACGCACATGATGTAAATATTTCTAAGTGCATTATGAACCATATATTATAATAAGACAAATATCGTCATAACCTAAAAATACAAGCTTTTAAAATTTGAATGCTATAGCAATCATATGGTATACACAACTTTAAAATCATGAATACTATAGCATGTGATGTCCATCAACGTGTGAATATTTCGGTTTAGGTACTAACTTTTTGCTCTCTTAACTAAAAAATGACATTAATTAAAAAATGAAATTTTATTTATATTTCCTTCTTTTTGAATTATATAGTTTTAAGTATGTACTTATGCAGGTAAATTAAAACCAATTCAAACAAATCATACTTAATGAATATTGTACTTTAAATAAAACAATAATCTCTACGAGTTTGTCTATAGCAATTAAATGTTTAAAGAAATATTTAAATTATCAATATAAGAATCATAAGTTATTTTATTCGATTAAGTTTAGTTATTATTTCTAATCCCTGATGGTATAAGAAAACCGTACAAATTTACTTTGACAACATATTATATTGTAAGTTCTTATTAATAGTAAATATGAATTCTTCAATTATTTTTAATTTTATATTTAGAACACAGCAATGAATGTAAATGATTTCATAATGAAATGTGTTCTTTTTTACTTTCTTTATCTTTTATATTGTAGTAAAAATAAATAGTTCAATCTTCAACTTCAACTTCAATACTTTTTCTAGTAGAAAATTAAAGTACATTTGAAGTGAAAAATAAACATTTCCCAATAATTAAGAAATGTGCCTATTGAGAAATGTTTACCTTAAAAAGCCAAAAAAATAAAAAAATAATAATAATAATATAATGAAGAGAAAACCGAAATTTTTATTCAAAATCAACTTTAGACAAAATAGATTTTATTTTAAACCTAAATATAGTAGGTACCTACCTAAAATTATTACAAAATGTTAACAATAGCATTTTCTATGCAAAGCATAATTTTCTAAATATGTTAAATCTTTTGTACTTCTTTAATATTTATAAGTATTTAAGTTTTTATTTGTTTCTTTAAACTATGTTGAAAAATTATAAGTATTCTCGATAATATATATATATATATATATATATATTTATGAAACGTCTTATATTAAATTTTCATATATATATACATATTTAGTACTGGAATTAAATAAAAAGTTGAGCGTAAATATACAGTAATTTTTTATAAGCATTTTAAGTTTGAATAATTAAAATGAAAATTTGCTTTGAAAAAGTTGAAAATGTATACAATTTTCAGTATTCATACTTAATGTTTGAAAATTTAAAACAGAGTTTCATATAAGACATGCTTATAAGAATTATTAAATAAAATCGAACATAATAACACAAATATTTTATTATGAGCACCTGAAGTTCAAGCCTCGATGAAATCGTAAAATAATTACGTGCTACTTGATATATTTACTCCATTTCACGGCAAATTATTGAACTGTAATAACTAATAAATATAATATGAATTATGATCTATATTTATATAAATATGAACACAGAAATATTTGTCACGCATATTCTCTGAAACTACTTATTCGATCATGTTGATTTATTTTGATGAAAGAACACGCTGTAGTGGAACAAATCTTAAGCTTATTATTGATTCTATTAGTTAATGAAAAATCGAGTAATTAATTTTTTAAATAATTTAAAAATACTCGCATAAAGGTTATTATTTTTCATCTGTATTACCAATTATTAGTTATTATTATAAATTATTATTTAGTTAATAGTTAATTAAGTATAAAAGTACAAAACTTTTTCGTTATTTTTTTGTTCAATAATAATTGAAACTTTATGAGTTTTCTGACAAAAAAAAAAAACAAAAATAACTTTAAAAAAATGTTGCTAGGGTAATAAAAAAAGCAACAATTGTTGGGACAGTTATACAAAGTTGATATGTCAGAAATATCATCTATACACCAAGTCAGAAAACCAGAAATATTTATCCACGCGCATCACGCTAAATGTTGTCATTATGCAACCAAATTTAGTACGGATGCATTTTGTACGGCTAACGAATTACTATGTAATAGCTACTATATATATTATACATTATACTATGTGTTTTTAAAATGACGACAAATAATATTTATTAACGAGGTTACTATGTTAGTGAAATTCTATTAATCATCGGTTGCTAGGGGTAACCCTTACAAAAAGTCCAATTAAAAATAAATAATAGTAATAGTGAATATTGGCTTACTCAAAATTGACAATGTCAAGTTGGTAATGGAAATAAAAGTAGAGCTCAGTTAATTTACTTATATATATATATATTATATATGTGCATTTTTATGAATAACCTCTTTTCCGAAACACATTGTATAAATTTAATAATAAATTCAATAAAATGTTCAAAATAATATTTAGACTCATTTAAAATTTTTTATGAACGTTCAATAATATATTCGATGTTCTTTTAAATTTAATTTTTTTTTTAAGTATCACTTAACAATTTTAAAGTAGTTAAATATTATGCTTAAAATTGCAATAAAAGGTCTTCTAAGTAGGTCATATTTATTGAAAATAAAAATATATTATCTATATTGTCTTTGTATACTAAGATCTTATTCATTCTAGTCCACAGTAAATTTTATTGGTATTAAATAAAATTTTAATAACAGTAATATATGATATAAATACATTATAATAATTAATAATAAAATAAATGTTATGTTTTTAGCAAAAATCAAATAAACCTATCAAACTACTATTATAAGTAAAATAAATTACTATAATACCAATATAAATAAAATAATAAAACATACTTACTAATAAGCTGAAAGATCGTCTCCGCTCAGAGTCGTTTTTCATATCCAATGTTTTCATTGAATTTATATTTAACTCATCTATTACGGTGACAAACTCAAATACGAGGCACACTCAACCCTTAATGTACGGTAAAACGTTACCTACTTACTGCTTTCATAAATATAATTTAGTGTATATATGCATTTTTTACAGAAAAACAAGGATTTAATATTTTGTTAAAATTTAAAGGATTCAGCGCTGTATACAACGCGTAATATGTGTATATTATTCATAATATGACCTTCACCAACATTAATTCACTTCTTAAAATATGCGCCCTTGCTAGGTGTTAACGAATTCAAAGATTTGACAGTATAAAGGTTGATTAATTTTTCAAACCAAGTTACTCACACGCTTTTTGTCCATCATAGTAGTAATTTGATTTTAATTTAGAAGAGCTAAATCATATTCGTTATGGCACCTTAATCTCTGTGAAAATCCCTCTCTCTTTCTCCCTCTCTTAGTAAGTGAATATTTTTTCATATCGTAACCACTTCCTGTAATGTATATTTTTTCGTACACACAGCACTTATTTTAGTGTTATTTTTTTTTTTTTTTTACGTCAGAAGGGTAATGGTCTTTTTCAATTCTTAAGCCTACATCAACAATAGTGTTTATTCTTCATAAAACGTAGATAAAATATTGTAAAACGTCGTAAAAATATATGGAACATTTTTAGAAAAATAAAAAGTTAATGTCTTCATCAATTTAAAACTTCAATAAGTCATACAGATGAATATTAAAATATTAAAATATTATTATTATTATTTATAAATATTGAAAAATGGATTCGTATAAAATGTTTGGGTAGTTATATTACTTATTTAAATATCGTATAATCATACTGCAGAAAAAAAACTAAATATTTTATCTCTAACTTTAACACAATATTATTCAGTTATAGTACGATCAGTTGGAAATCTAATCACAGTAAAAAGAATAATAAATGGGAATTCTATTTCATTTATAATGCACATTTTTTTTTTCGTATAATATAAAACGAAAGAATTTTGATATTTCCCTGAACATTCTTCGTCCATTGTTCTATTTTGATCCTTATAATACTACCGTAGTGTCAGCTTTTTTCTTATCTATTCCTTTTTGGTAACTTAACTTAACCTTTACCTGATAATTTATTCTCTTACCCAACTCGACCGCCGCGTAATGGCGAGATTATACGATATGCTATTGTTCGGCAGATTATCGTGGTAACTATCTGTAATATTACGTAATTGACAAAAATTGCTTAAAAACCACATTAAATAGTTCTCCTAAAATACTTAACTTCAATCCACGTATATTTTAATAATACCAATAAATTTAATGTTTTCTTTGTATAACTGTTCACAATTATTGATAGTGTTGATTTTTTCGTAAATATCTGTACGAGAAAAATGCATTCGTATTATGCACATAATAATATATTATTAATATGTTGACGTTGTTTCATAAAAATACGAGACTCGTAATGCAATTTGCCTGTATAAGCTCATCTTCAGACATTCGTACTCGAGACAACTCTTCCTATCCGCCAACACTTAACCACCGATTAGCGATTATTGCCACATTGAATTTCAAGTACCTACCGCTTTTCTCACAGGAAACAGATTTTGAAATCATCTCGTAATTCCAAACGGATTCTTAACCATTATTGTTATTATTCGTCTTGGGCGTAAACCGTCTGCAAATATTAATTATTTCAATGTACAACTAAATATATTATATTAACGGTATGAATCGCGTGTTTTTTGAAGGCGTATACCTGGCGGCGGGAGCGAACGCCAGTGGCGGCGCGTTGCCGTCACCACTGTCGTCCGGCGGTCGGAACCACCCGCTGCGCAGTGAGAGCCGGTCGTATGCGTCCTGCGACCTGGACCCCGTCATGGAGGAACGGAGCGAGGTGGACAACAGCTGTGGCAGCGTCGCCGGCGGCGGACCCGTGGCCGTGGCCGGGACGGTGGCCGGCGATAGCGGCGTAGTCAGCGGCGGAGCAGTCGAGGCGCTCGTGTGTCCGGACAGCTAGCAACACGTGCTGGCCATCGCCAGGATATCGGTGGCCGTACAGACGGACAAGCCGCCGCCCAGACCGGTCAGGTCACCATTGTGGAACACGCTCACCAACAACCCGCCGGACGAGGCAGTCAGCTGACATCCGGCCCGGCCCGAACAGCTCAAGGCCATTGCGATCATAGAACCTTGATGGGCTCTCCGACATATCGACTAACATTCACACCCTCCCCTCGAATCCATCCATCAACCGATACGTACAAACTGTACAAGCGTTTCCGCGGCGGTTTCGTGTAAACTTTATTTTTTATCGTCTTGTTTTATCATAGTGATAACATAATATAGGACACGATGTAAATAATTTCAGACGAAAATGCCAAGTATTTCCAAGTGCTATAGTGGTATAAACTCGTATCGCGTATAAAATACTCGTATTATATATCGTGAGAAACCGTTCATTTACTATCTGAAATTAAGTTTGTAGGATGTCCGGAATTCAATATAATTCGATTGTGTTACGTTTAATAATTTACGAGCAGAGTCTGTATTTTATTATTTGCTTTAATTCGTACCGATTTAACTTAGTACTAATTTAACCAGTCAAACACTAAATAACATTAAATTCGAATATTTTTCATGGACATTTTAGCAGCTCAAATAAATTATTTTGCAGGTATAAATAAATTATTAATATAAAAATTTAAATAACTTTAATAGTATCTAGAATTTTATTAAATTCCCAACATTTAGTCTACGATACATACAATAGTATTCTTTTCTAAATCACACTCGAGCTCTCTTCTATCTCTACCTGTATTTCTTTTAAATGAAAATCCACTACCCGCAGAAAATTTCAATTTCAGTCTGGCGGGCATAAACTTTAGTAAATAAACTTCTCAAACAAATAACTTAGACCACGCCCACGTATACATTTATATATATGCATACACTTATGCGTGTATGTATGCAAATACAATATACCTACCGAAGCTGTACACAACTTTATTTCTACCCTCAACCACGTCTGTTTTTACACGTCGTCGTCATCATCTAGTGCTATTATAATACTACTATTCATACAAATATTCAAACATATTTGCACACATATTTATAATTAGCTTTAAATATTTATTGACCGGATACTGGGAAATCATATATGTTTGTGTGACGGTAACGAATCGAATAAATTCAAAAATAAACTTCAAAAAACTACGTTAAACAATCTCCATCAGCTTAGACGAGCAAATAAACTTATTGCACCCTCTTTCATTATTAAGTGTCACAGAGCAGCTTTTGTGACTTGACAAAATAGATATACATATAGTTTTGTTTTTATTAGGTGTACATTACATTTAGTTTTGGGATGTACTTTTCTTTGTGACTTATATGTATGTATTAGGCTAAGTAACTACACTAAATAATAAATAAATTCTTTATTTACTGAATATATACTGAATACATATATTATATCTTTAGTATATTTTAAATTTAAACTTTTATAATATGGGTCCATTATTTTTTCAGATTATTTTTATTATTTTTACAATGTTATATAGAATAAAACAAGTTACTAAATAATAATAATATTATTATTCACTTATGTACTGTGATGTAAATTGACTTCAACAGATGTTTAACTATAATGTTATCAATAGTTTCGACGTCAAAAAAACGTACCGTTAAACTTATAGAAATTACTATTTCTGATCGTCATAATTTATAATGTCAATGTTATTATATTAATTGTATGTCTTGGCGTCAAAGCTGATTTGTTTTAACGACCTCAAAACTGTACCATAGAAACGCGTGCGTATAATTTTATTGTTGTGGAAGTATACACCGCAGGCATCCGACAAACTCTCTCACAACTCGTGAATCCCACTAAAAAGGTCGTTTTTGTCTACCAAGTAAATTTAATAATATCCTTCAATTTTTTATTATGATAGTGTAAAATCCCAAAATTTATTATCAAACATGTATTTACCGAGCCTCAGAGTAGTAGTAACTATACTACTTAGTTGTATTGCAATATTATTTAACTCTTAAATAGTTAAACTACTTATAAAATTGTATCTAAATATAAAATACTACATAAACTTTCATGTTTAAATACAATATATAAAATAAATTTTATTTTCATGAATACAAAATACAAATCATAAATAAATTTAAAAAAATAAATAAATTCCATATGAAAATATAATTGATCAAATTAAAATTTTAAGTCCTGTAAATAGATATTTTAATTGTTTAATTAACTTTCTATTGTAGTACTTCACGAAAAATACAATTTGTTTTTACAATAATAATATACAGCATAAGATATAATAATTTATAAAGTAACAGAAATATGCACTTTTAACGTTTTACCTAAAAAAACACTAGATAGTTATACTATTTAATAGCTTCAAAGTAAATTTAAAACTTATAATTTTTCTTATCACTACTAGCATTATAACTCACATGACTATACTTTTTAAAAGTAACAAATAAAACTTTTTTTAATTATTTATTTACATGTTGTGCAATTATTCGGTAGATAGTATGATAAGGTACTCGACACATAAAAACATTTATATTTTCAAAAATGCATTTTTTCATTCAAAATAATAAAAATACACAACACCTAATTATTGACTGTAATTTTCAATGGTACTAGCTACTGTATAACCATATCGTACACTTTGAAACATTGAAACATTTTGAACTTATATTATATTGACCCAATCAAACAATTTTAATATTGATGTGAAATAATATTGCATTTTTTAAATGTAAAAAGTTGAAAATGTGTCGCGTCGTATTTCTCTGACTTAATTTCAAATACTGTTTATTTCGGATTCAAAATTTTCAATATCAATATAATTTCTAACTGCAGCCACTGATAAATACGATTAATTTACTACTTATAATTTTCTCGACAAGAGAGGTCGAAAACACGTAATGGAAAAAGTATTATACAATTATATTGTGTTATATAGGTATATGCACTCCAAAAAACTTTTAATGGTTTCGACGGAATGATATAAAAGTGTATACTGTATAGTGTACTGCGCGGTGGTGGCGTTATACAACGTGGTAACTTAATCCGGCTTTACGTCGGTTTACTCGGGAGACGTGTAGGGACAAATTTATATATACGTTTGGTAAATAAATTAGGGTCGAATCGAAAAATAACTGCTACTATGGTACTTGGAATAGGCATTATAATAATATTTTTATCATTATTATTATTATTATTATTAGTCTTGGCCAGGACAATTCGTTATTGTGGAGCAGCTGAAAAGAGGAAATTCTCCGTCATCGTAACCGTGGAAACGGCGAGTTCGTTATTATTCCATTTAGAATAATATAAGTCTATATATGGAAATAGATTTATAATAATACAAGTACTAACATGTTTGTTTGTGTTTATGCTAGTTGTTCGTTAGTGAGTTGTTCAAGTATGTATAAATAAAATTAAAATAATAATATTCGAGTTTGGTTTTTGGTAGAATGACCGTATTACTCTACATTAATAGTATTTATACGTAATCAATTAAACAAATGACAATCGTTGGTCGTAGTGTTTGTCAGCATATACTTTACAATCTATATCGATATACTATAATACTAGAAACTAGTTGATGTTTATAAGGTTTTCATTATTTAATTTGATGATTAATTTTCGTATTTTAATAAAAAGTACCTCTGTAAATGTATGTATCATACATTGCGTTAAAAAATAAACTTTTTTTCGTCATTTAATTATTTTTTGTTTTTATTATACATTTCCCCCGAAAGTTTCTAATTGTTTTTATTAATTACTCAAATAAAATACTTTAGTAAATATATAATATAATTTTGTACAAGTGGTAATATTGTTTAAAAATAATAATTCTATAATATAAGACTATACCTACTTTTTATTTGAAATGTATTATTATCTAACGAAATCATATCTTATGACTTATACTCGTATACCTAGTACAAACATGATGAAAATAAAAATCAAGTTGTTTTATTTAAACAACTTTTCCTGATTAATAATCTCTTACAATAGTGTAGGTTTATATAAAACTTAAACTACGAACATGTTTTAACGCTTAAACATTTATATTATTTTAGGTTTTTTTTTCAAGATTCAAATCTATCGTATTGTGTAAAAAAAAAAAAATTGATAAATGAACCATTATATCAATAATTATTAAGCAGTTTTATTATAAATCTTGATGAAAAAAAATTAAAATTAAAATAATATAAAAAAATATACAGAAAAACTAAAAAAAATACTTACCATTATTAATTATAATATGAGTATTATTATAGTGTTAGTATAATAAATGGGGCCAAATTCATAATAATCATTTTCATTTAAAGCATTAAAAACAAGCTAAATATTTCTATATCTATATTTTGAATAACAATTTGATTTTTGCGAGCCTACTAATTCAGGTTATGAAATTACAATATGTATTTGTTATCGATGACACAAACCTGTGCACTTTTTCAATGACCAAGCTACTGTTTTTTACGACTTCAAACAAGTAATTTAAAAATCGGTTTAGACGGTAATACATGGTCGAATATTAAATTTAAAATTTACTAATCATAACAAATGATATATTCCTATACTGTAAATACTTATATAAAATTAAATATAACCACTTTTGTACCATTTATCTTGTATTAACCATAGTACAATCACTATACTTTAATAGTAAGTATTATGAGTGTTCCTCAATACAGATTAAATTTGTATGTAGAGTAAAATACTAACTTTTAGGTTAATTAAATGTTTAATGATGATTGATATTATGTTTTTTTTTTTTTTTTTTAAGTATAATATGTTTTAGCTATAAGAAATCTTGTATGTATAATCATCATGTAATAAACATATTGAAATATAAACAATTTCTCTTTTCATTTATTGACGATATTGAACTTAACTCACTATGTAATTGATGTTAAAAAAGATATGTTGAATTTATAACCTAACCTATTGATCACCTATTTTCATTTAAAATTTCAAAATCTAAGTTATTATAAACAAATATGCCAAATTAATTTAAAAAGAATTTGTTAAATTCTTATGTTTCTTTAAAAATCAAAGACCAGTCAATACTTACGTCGTCATCCAAGAAACACAAAAAAAAGATAAAATTTTAATACTTTATTTTATATATATTTCATATTATTGCCTCCTCACTGGTTAACTTTTTTTGAGCTAATTAACACATACATTTTAAATTGAAAACATTTTTTTTTAGATTTTTCTTCATTCAATTAATAATTTTCTCTTAATCAAAATGCTTGTAAATGTAACAAAACATTTTTCGTAGGTTATTAATTTATCAATCAAACATTAATCTTTTAAATTGTTTGATTTAGGTAACTTAATATGATCTTATTATTTACACTTATTTACTTAGTTAATTAAAAAAAAAAACTCTCAAGCTTTTTAAAACTAATTTCTGCAACATCATTTTAAAATAATATGATCTTACGAGTATAACACAATGCAGCTATCAAATTTTCGAAATCAAGACATTACTTACCAGCTATAGATAAGTTACCCAAGAGGATAAAACCAAAAAATTATATATTTTAGATTTCAATTTCTAGATTGGTATTATTGGACCACTGAGGGAACTCATATTCACTCATATTCACTTTAAAAGATCAAATGCTTGGAAAACATTACAATTCAATATATAAAAACCATTACTAAATAGCGTGATAGGTACATCAAATATGCTCATCTCCATTTTTCTGTTGGTAATGAGTTAATTAAAATTATGATTAATATAATTGACAAAAGTTTTTAATGAAATCACACACTTGAATTTTGATTTAGATCTATCAGTATTTTCAAAAAAATCATCTACTTAAAAGTCTACAGTAAAAAAATTTAGTCACATAATTAAAAAAAAATTAATTTGTAACATAACAGGTTATTTCTTAAAGATTTATAAATATAAAATATCAATATTTATAATTGAAAACATATCTCTATTTTTTTTTTTTTTTTAACTCAAAAATTAGAATTAGAATATTATATTAAATTAAAATCTGGGCGAAAGCATGTTTGTTGAATCATTCTGTTTCCAGTATAATTAATACGCTTGTCATTCAGTTGGCTACTCAGTACATAAAATGTATAGATAGGATCATAATTTATTTATTCTAATGATGTGTTAGAATCTGTTTTGTGTACGAGTCAATAAATAATCTATAAATACTATCATACTTATTCTGAATTGAGATCAAAGAAAACTAAACCCTAAATTCTAAATCCTACTTTACATGTAGCTTTTTGCGTAAATGTGCATGTTTATTGTATATAACGGTATATAGATGTTATACACATTATATGCTCGTTGATTCTCCAGATATGTTCACCCGTTTTTTAGATTTTTAACGAAGCAAAGAATGCGTTAATCTGAAAAATGTTATGTTATTAATGAAACATATTACACTAATGCGTTTATATTAAAGCTAAACTTTTCTTAATTAGTTCTCTATAGACTCATTAATTTATTATATTTTGTGTACCGTATTTATACGGTTGTAAAATATTTACATAAAAAATGTATGAATTTCCTTTATAGGTACCTTATTTTAATGAAAGTTAAATTAAATAATAAACACTTGTTTAAGTAGATTGAACATCCATTATTTTTCTTAATTTTTTTTTTTTTTTTCATAATCTATCCAATGATAAGAATATGCTGAATTACTACCTTTACAAATATTTTATGCGACTCTTAAATTAAGGGAGACATAAAAATATGTTAACAAATTCAAATTCTTAGACATACAATATTTGGCTAGAAGGTACTAACGGTAACAATTATATAATATTATGTAGATAGGTAGGCACGTGTCGGAAACCATTTGCGAATTTTCCCTATATAAAGTAAAACGTTTTAGTTTATTGAACCGAACACTCATGCATTGCTTCACCAATGTGCTCTATAATCTCGAAATATTTATTGTCGTTCTACAAGTCAGATTTGAATAATGTAATAATTTCAATATTGTAATTGACTTTTGTATTTTTACAATATTAATTCTAAAGAGTGAAAAAATTGTAATTTTATAAAAATTAAGAACACATTTTTAATCGTTAAATACATTAGAATATTGTTAAAAAAACTTATGGTAAATATTTTTATTTTTTATTTTGAAATATACAATCTATGCCAAGGGGATAATATTAAGAATATGTGCTATAAGTAGAATGGTAAATATAAATATAATTTCTAACTGAAGTATTTATTATTATATAATATAACTATAAACATACAATTGATAATTTATATTTAAATGCGTATTTTTATTGTAATTAGTAAATTGTAATTAACTACAATACTACATGTGCGTAGTTTGTAATTACAAGTTACTTTAGATGCGGATTGAAAATACCAACCCAGTTAATTTTAGTAGTTAAAATATTTATCAATATTTTACCCGAACCATTAAGTAAAAATTAGTCCATTATTTTATTCGTGTAAATAAAATTTATCTTTTCTAAATGTGTTTATATGTATGTATATAAATATATATATATATATATATAATAATGATCAATAGTAGGTACACACAAAATAATATAAATATATGGGCACTATGCGGAGTATTTAATGTATAATTTTATAAAGAATGATTTGCATTCAAGTTACAAAACTTTTAAATTTTAAGATATATTTTATAATTTCATTAAAACTTTAAATGCTGAAATAGTAAAAAATTACTCTTTTGTATTCAAACATATAGATTCTGGTTCAGCGACAGACTACTAATTATATTTGTATTGATAACTTCTAATTATAGTATAAGGTATGAAACTTATTAAGGGCTAAGGTTTCGGTAATCAGTTAAATAAAAATAAAAACAATAACCATGCAAAAAATTTAAATTATTTGAAGTATAACATTTCGTTTTTATAGCTATGTTAAAATATCAATATTTTTTGTAAAAAAAAAAAAAAAACTGATTGAACAAAAGTCAAAACCAAAAATATAATAATTTCTAATTAATATTCAGAATTCTTCATTAAAATTTATATTTCAGTTCCAAAATTTTTTATTAGAATTTTAGATTTCAGATCTATTTGGTTATTTTCGGTTTGGTTTTAATTCCTATTTCAATAATTATTTTTTTTTTTTTTTTTTGTTTCATATAGTATTTATAATACATTGCCCATATAACATTATTCAATATGTTTCGATTTTGACATGGAAACAGACGTAAAAGAAAAATAATTAGAATATGGTTGTAGACCGCTGCTAAGAAAAAAATATTTACATAAGTTTTATCCTAAAATTAATTAAGTTAGATTTCACACGTAACATATTTTATCTTAGACAGTGTATAATTATTGCAATAAAAAATTTAAAAAACTTTATTGATCAATTGTAAAAGTTTAATAAGTCGATATAATCAAGATAAAAATTACAAAAGAAATACAGAAATATTTTTTTTAAGTTATAATTTATTAGTACCTAAGTAATAAATAATTACAAATTAACAAAAAGTTGTGTCATGTATGTCATAAAATGTTTCATTAAGATGTTTATAAAACATACATAGTTAAACAACTATTGGCAATTAATTACTATACGATCGTAAATCCTCTATATTATGTAAAAGTAATTACTAAATCAACATTTTACTATTTCAATAATCAGATAATATTAAAAACACAAACCAAACGCTATTTAAACGTTTAATACGAAAAATTAATTGTTTTTGATTACCTAATTAAAAACAGATTTACATTACCGAACTAATCATAATAACATAATAACACATCTAAAATATCTGTTTTACGTAAAACGTAATGTTATTATTAGTTTCTAATAATATTTTATAGTATAATCATAGGTGTTTCGAAATCAATATTTTTTTTTCTTTAGTAAATAAATACATTTTTATTTTTATATTATATTATTTAGTTAAATAATACTAATAATAAATAATACATTTTTCAATATAGATTGCTTTAAGGTTTGTTAATATTTTTAAGTTTTAATTTAATGCTCTTATTTAATTTATAATATCAGCTGTTACTGCCAGTCTTGGTGTTTCTTCATTTTCCACGATCCAATATTGACCAGTAATACCTTGTTTTAGAATATAAATTAAAGCTTTGCCAACATTATCCGATCTAAAAAAATAAAGAAAACTTTTCATTTATTGACTTCAAAATTGTTGTTTAATTATTATTTATTCATACTTCAAAATTATAATGTAAACTTACACACTTCTTGGGTTTAATGCCATAGTTCTTATATTCAAGTGCATTGAACTTGGTACGGCCTTATAGAAAACAAAATTGATTTATTTTTTATTTAAACAGATCAATGATATGTACAAGAGAGGTAGAAACTAATTTTTAAATTACTTATAACTTATAATTTATATTATTATAATTTTTTTTTTTAATTTATTGTCTTAAAAGGATTATATGTCTTATAGCCACAAATCAAGTCATAGTATGCTAAGAACACATATATATCATACACACACGAAATTGTAATGCATAAATTTATTATGTAAAATGTTTAATTATGAAATATTTATATTCACCATGTTATGCATTTTAAACAAATTTTGGTATTCACAATTTTATGTTTTCCTGTTTTAATACTATTAATTATTACCAGATTTATGAAAACTATACAGTCATACTAATTATATTGTGTTTGACGCATTGAGTCGACATTTATATTTAATATTATGTATATTATACATTATACTGTGAAAGGCATAATGGTATGTATATCTAATGTATATATAACAATACCTAGTTCAAAATATTTATCTCAGAGTTATAGAAATACAAAACTCATATTATTCATTATATATATATGAAAAGTAAACGATTATAAAATGTACAATGTAATATAAAGGATTTAGGACTTAAAGTTCATAAAATCATTAAAATAAACGTTTAAAAATAATTTAATAAAAATTTTATTAAAACCGCTAAAATTTGTAAAAAAAAAATCAGTATAAAAATTGTAATTCCTCTTGAACATAATATAAATAAAATAGTCCTCCCTTCAAAAACTTGCATGGATTTCACTTATTGAGTTATAAAATATACTAGATACAATACCTGTGCTGAAAAGCTATATTTCTCTAACACTACAAACAACAATTAGTTTTTGGCAGTAGCTTCAACTAAACATCTCCATTATACCTCAATACAGAAATACACAGAAAAAAAAACATAAAAACTAATAAATTATTCAAGCATGGTAATTTATTAAAAGAAAACTACCAAAATAAAAAGCAAAAATAAGCATTTTCAAATCGTAATAACACGATATAAATATCAATAACATTCGTTTAGATTTTAAATTTAAATTTAAAAATAAATTGGCTAATGATTTAAGTCTCGAACCCTGATTATAAATAAAATTAAATATACATAATATTTTAGTATAAGTTGGTGTGAGTGCTGATATACTTAATTTTATCTTCCCTGAATTTTTGAAATACGTTCTTATTATACACAATAAATATTAGTTTATGTATAATTTTATAGATATAAAATTAATATTTATACGTTTTTACATCTTTTCAGTTCTGTACGTACAGAAATATAATGATAAATATGATAATTTAATGGTATTATACAAGAATTAATGAAATATGGTATATATATATATATGTTTATACCGTGACCTAATCTAATGTTGTCGTTGCGAATCTGCTATAAACCTTTCTTCTTCTTTTTTTTTTTTTTTTTGCTCTTTTATACTGACGTAGTTGTAGCACTTATCTTTGGACACCTTTGGTTATATATTATCGTTATAGTGTGTATCACATTGTATATACTTTAAAATATTATAGTAATTTTAAACTCAAAAAATAAACTGTATTTTCCACAAATATGAATTATTTAATAAAAACCGCGAGGAAAATTTTAAGTTCCTAATGAATTATTATTATTATTATTATTATTATTGTTTATTATTATAACAAAGGGTATTTTATAAAAACTGATGATTGTTTTCACGTATTACAACATTCATTTCTAAATAAATTATCATGATTTAAAAAATGGTTAGATTGAGAAGCATGCATATTAATAAATAAGTATACGTCTTAATAGGATCTAATTACATATATTAAGCTAGACTATTCTACGATTTTGCTATGTAAAACTAGATTTTTTTCGTCTGTTGTTGACAACATAGACTATATTATAATAATATGTGTTCTCAATTTATTCAAAACAACCAAGATTAAAAAGTCAAGATCTTGAAATATGATCTTATACTGGTGTCAATATTAGCGAAAAAAATAAAACTAATTTAGTGGTGCTTAAAGGGTATCTATAATATGTATACGTATATTTTCTTGAGAGTGGAGACTTGGAGCTCTATCAAAATCAGATTAAAAGGTGGTAAATATATTTTTGAATACAACTTTGGATACTTTATATGCATTTTAGCTTTATCCTTCGACACCACACAGCACCTAATAAATATCTTGAGTTATTGTCTCTTTTTTACAGTTATATTTTTATTTTATTCTAATTTTAGAATATTGCAAGAGGTATTATTGTATACACAATATTTTAAATGTTACAAACAAAATAAACCAGAGCTCGCAAGAAGGGCGATTTACCTCCCTCATAACAAAAAATAAACTTACACCAATTGCTTTCGTGTATTCGACAACGGCACTAGTCGCCAATCTGCTGTTTGTCGTCTGCACCATAGTTCCGCCTTTGCCTCCATACGGAGCTCCCATATACTTGATTGCTAGAAGCGTTCCGTTAACGACTCCGCCCTATAATCAAGTGAATATTCTATAATTAAATTAAATTACACTAATGTTGTGTAAGGTCCTATTGAAAACATATATATTTTGTTAAACAAATTTTTGAGTATCCGTGAATTATTTAAAATAATCAAAATATCACTTTTTGAATTATGCCTACATAGTGTGTACTAATTTCGTCCTGATCGTCGAACCACATTTCAGCTGTATTGTTAACGACAATATCTAGTCGCCCAAAATGATGTATGCATGAAATGAAAGCGCCTGAAAAATACATTACAAATGTCTAGAAATAATAGCGTAGATACGTACGACATTATAATATTTATGTATTATCGTATAGTATTATAATTTACATCATGTCTTAAAAGTTCTAATCACCTTTAAAAACTCCATGATATATAAATATATTTAAAAGCTAAGTTTTTTTTTTTATGCTAAACAGTAAAAAAGTTCTAATCGTTTTAAAGTTTCAATTATTTTTTCAAAAATTAAAAACAAATGTTTTGTTTAATTTAATTTTTAATTTTCCGATACAGCCATATGTTTTGATCATATTTTTTAAAACAGTTAACATAAAATATATATATATATATATTAAAATTTAATAAAAATTAACTAACTTACTTAGATCTATGTTTTTGTACCCATGATTTAGAAGCACAATATATTATACTTATAGTATTAAGTTATTTCATTGATTTTTCTAGTGTTATTAAAACTTAATTTTAGCTCTAAAGATAAAGTCAATGAGCTGAATGAGTGAAGTACCTAAGTCACATATATTAAATAACACAACAAATGTTAACAACTCCATTAACCTTAGAATATTTTAAGAATGTTTAGGTGGCTGGACCCAAAAATATCTACTTTGTGTTCATAATCTAGGTCACTTTGAATATTTATATAAAAAAATCAGTAAATCATTTTTTTTAAATTAACAATAAAAATTAAAAATCTTATTTTGAATTGTTATTATTAATAATTTTAATTTCTGCTGAGATTTCAAAAATAATTAAATATTTATAGATTGTTATAAAAACCTTAATTCCAATCGAGATTAATTGATTATGCGATTCGAGTTTCTCTATATTTTACTATTATTCTCATGCAGTTATCTTAAAAATTTGAAAAACTAAGCTTCAAAAAAAAAAATATTGTGACATAATAGCTATTCAATTAGAACTTTCTTACTAAATACTATAAATAAACATATTTAAATACATTGATATTTCACTAACTAAGAGTGAAACAGACTTTTGGTACTATAGTAGGTAAATACCTAATTAATTTTTGCATGCCTTAATAATTGAATACGTATTGTAATTTGTATTGAATAATGAAATGTTCAAATTAAAATAAAAAATTAAGGTGGTGTTAATAATGGTTGAAGAGGAGTGATAACACTGCATAATATATTTTTATTTTATTTTTTCATTATAGTATAAATATGTTGTAAATATAAATAATAGTCGGTCCAAGTACTGGTTTGTATATTACTTAAGTATATCACTCATACAATTAATTATCGTGCAAGAATACCCAAAAGGATTTTTTTTTATCTCTTATCTCTTTTAGTATTGTTAAAAGATATTATAATTCACAGTTATTCAAATGTTCCTAGGAATTCAATTATGTAATATTAATAAAATCTTTAAGTCCAATCCTAAACACCATTCTTCTAAATTATCATTGAAAATAATTTACCAGTCTCTGGTTAACTAGCATTTTTCAAATAAATAGTAAGAAAACCTTAAATTCTTAATCGCTTTAAAAATAATATTAATAATAGTAAAATAAGAATAGAAAAAAAGTAACGTTACTGGTTATTTTTTTTTTTGTTCAGCTGTTCTTTTTTAAACTTTTTTCCACATTTATTTTGTTTAATAATAATTTTAGAGTTTTATTTATTGTACACAACATTGGAATAATAATTATTATTTAACATATTTACAAGCAAAATATTATAAATAAGTTAGTACAAAAATATATTGTATTTTTAATAATTTAGAGTAGATTATATTAGATTAATAATTTCAAGAATTTTAAATAAAATAAAAAAATAGTTGTTTTCACTAACCTAAATACAATTAGTATTAATATTACCAATAGTATTTATTAATTAATTTTTATAAGTAAACAATTGTAGATAGAATACTATAAGTCCCAATTATAGTGGATGGTACATGTTTAATACTAGAGTGTGTACATTTTCCAGGCTCGACAAGATAATAATATTGAATTATTGAAATTTTAATAACAATTTCTACTATTTTTCAATTATTTAAAAATAGTTGAGACAGTACTTAATTGAATAAATATCTTTTTATTTTTTTTATTTTATTTATTAAATATCAACTTTTAATTGTATTTTTATACCTAACATTGGGAATTTATATTTTATATTTTTTGATCTATAAAATTCCAGATTATTTTCAAACTATTCAAATAATTACTAATTAAATATTGGTGTATAATTATAAAATAAATAACATTAAACAAAATTAAAATATATTTTAGTATATTATATCACGTATTGTGTTACAAATGTATCAAAAGGAACTTAGTCTCACCGTCAAAAATAGGTAAGATATGCAGGTTCTCCAATACATAGTTAAACTAAATTATTTTGAAAAACTCACTTTCAAGTTTTCCTTGATCTGCAACGGAATACCCCAATGCCAAAACACATTCATCACCAAACACGTTTGCGAATTCATTGGCGGACGATTGACAAGTTTCAAAATCAATATCGCATAACGCCACCTAATGATAATAATTTAGAAAAATGTGTTATTCCCTTTAATCGTCAACGTTTTATACTTATAAGTAGGAACCACTTTAAAATTCTTATACTGATATCATATTTATATATTATAAATATAATATAATTATAAAAATGTATAAATAATAATGTTTATTATAACATAAATAAATTATTTTATCCATATTTTTAATAAAAGCTTATAATATAGTGAATATAGGCTTATTTAAAAAAAAATAAAATGTATAGAAATCAATGCATAATTTATCGAAATCTTAAGCTCGTTAATAAGTACTAAACAGATCCACTCTGCTGCTACCAGAAAATTTATTTAAATTGAAGATTAAAGAGTTTTGACTGATACAAAAGACAAATAGATAATAATCACAAAATAAAATATTTATTTTTTTTTAAACATATTATCGTAAAATCAATATATTAATTACTCCGCTTAAAAACTAAAATATATTATATAATAATATGTTTTTATGTTATTTGATACAATAAATGTTAATTGTTAAAAATATTACCTACTATCTGGTACTATTCGTATTAAGTACCTTACCTTGACGCCATTTTGGAGAAGATGTTTGGCATAAGCTTTTCCAATTGTCGAAGTAGCTGAAGTGATCAACGCTACCTGATTCTTAAGTACCAGCATCTTACTATACAATCCTATAAAGATTGACTACAAAATTATATATATTTTATACAAGCACACAGAAAATCCATTACTATCGAATACAGTCTAATAGTTAATTATTTTTTCGATTTAAAATAAATATAAAAAGCAATAATTTGATATATACCTGTTAAAGGCAAAAATTGCACTAAATTTTTGCACACGAATCGTTACGTACTTAACGAATAATAATTATTTGATGTAGTAAACAAGTACTATTATATACCATCACAGTATATATCATCGAAAGACGAAAGTTCCGGCGGTTTTAACTACTGAACTTTTATTAACTTCTTTAATTTGACGGTAATTTCTAATGAGAACTAATAATAAATTGTTATTTAGGTATTTTCAGTTTCGTGCGTGATTTGAAATGGATGTAAATTTTAGTCGATATTATACAAGTAGATAACTGATATTTGATTATATGTTTGTGAATAAAAAATACTTACATTCCTAACAACGTGGGTATTTTATTTCGTGTGCCTACCAGGACTGAAGTATTTCAAAACGGATACCTACATTGATAACATTCAAAAACTATTTTACGAGTAGATATCATAGGTACCCAACAAACGCACAAATGCACAAAAAATAATATTTTATCGGTAAATATAACCAATGTGTTACAATATATAAAAGGTAATCATATTAATATTTTTTTTTTTAATTTTGTTCAATTTACATAAATAATTTAGTATACTTGGTAAGTAGGTCGTAGGTACCCATACTGTTTAGACAGATATTATGAATTAAATAAATCACATTTTTATATTTACGGCAATAAAACACGTACCTACCTAATAGTTATTTAAACTTAATATTTGATAGACATATTTTTAGACATTTTTAGGAATTAAGTTGAACATTTAGACTAGTGGTTTTCAACCTTTTTTAAATCACGAACCAAATTTTCCTAAGATTTTACTTTTACAGGATAATGAGTAAGCACCTAGATAATTTTGAAAAAACCAAAGTTTGTTTATTACTTTGATTATCTACTTATTACTTTAGACTATAAAGTCTATATGCTTATAATTAATATAATTTTATAAATGTATTTTTAATAACGAGGCTGTGCGCTGTATGCGAATTGCGAAGTGTATGCTCGTTTCTGTTATGGTTGATAATAACACCGACGATGAACGATGACGTCAATCTTAGTTATTTTCAATCGCAAAGAGTTCGATAATTGTACTTTGTAGCTCGTTTCGATTTTTGTTTTTGATGCCCACCATTGTCGAAAATTCGACTTCACACATGCGTAAAGATAAGAATGGAAGTAGGATTTCTATAGCTCCAGTTGAAAGAATTGGACATGTTTGTTATGATAACAGACAAAACTTAATCAATTTGTTGCAGCTAAATTTAAGTTTCAGGATAACCTTCTAATAAATCGAGTTTTGATTAAATATTACTATAATACACTTATAATTTATATTGTTTACGTATAATAAAATAAGATAAATATCTTAGAATCTTTACAATTAAAAACAATTTTCACGACTCACCATAAATGACTCGCGAATAATAGTATAACAAACGCTGGTTCAAACAAATTGATTAATATCAACTGATTAAAAACATGGCTTGTTAGAATTAAATCATAAACACTAAGACTTAAGAGAATACACGTGAAATGGGCCACGTATAAGCAACCGTGTATAAAGTTGTGCAGGAGACAGTAGTGGTGGTTGAAATAAATAGTCGTCATTTCTTCTAAGTGTTTTTTTTTTTTATTGAAAATACTCCAGTCCAAATGACTGAATCCTAACATAGGCTGACGTGAAAGTGCTTGCTCTAAATGTTGTAAATCACGTCTGAAAAAGTCCTATCTTGGCCCTCAGACTCTCCTATATAAATCCTTTAACCACCATTTTTGGTCATATTTCTGGTCAAGAAATATGCACCGTCGATATACCTATACCTACCACACTAAAATCCTTTATATTTAATTATGTTCAATTGTATGTATTTAGTTAAAATTACTGCGTACCTATAGTTACTAACACCTATTGAGTTGTACTATTCCTCTATGAAATGTGTATAAAGATTATATTCATCACTAATGTATTAGATGCATAATGCATATATTAATAAGTAGGCAGTAGGCATCTACCGGACATATGTGTATCTGCAGGCCTATCCATAATTTTATTAAGTGATGTACCTACTTTACTCTCTAGCGCTGTATTGTTATAGAATATCAGAGTACCTACGCAACACACGGTTAACATTTTTCACAAATTAATTTACCATTTCTTTCTTGCTTTCTTTTAAAGACGTTTCTAGGTGGAAATGAAGTATTTACTTAAATAGGTAGGTATTTAAGTCCCTAAAATATTAATACCTAATTAAAATAGAACAAAATTTCGGAAAAATATAAAAATATAAATGTCTACAATAATAAAATAGTTACATAATACAAAAAATTCGGAAAAAGTTTAAAAAAAATATATGCCAGTATTTTTTGTCAGTTCTAAATATGTGAAAAATACTGTTTAAAATTAAAACCGTTTATTAACTGGTTCAAACTAGTTCCTATGTTTTCATAGATTTGGTCCAAACGGGATCTCCCAAAATAAATAGTTAAGCTTTTTTACTCTCAATTTTAAGCCACTGTATTACTTCCTCTTCCCTTGCAACATCATTCATTTAAATACTTAGTACACAAAATAGTTATATTCAGAATCAGTAAAGAATTAATTTTTTTTTTTTTTGGGTACTTATACCTACCAATAAAAGATTTAGTTATTAAATAAATTAAACTGATTATTTTTTGTTTACAAAAATAAATGGGTCATTTATCTTGCACAGTTACACATAAGGTCCATTTTACATTTAGTTTGATTATCATTTATCAGTTAGTAGGTAGGTATGTCCTATATACATTTTTATACATTGTTTTAACTCCAATGCAAAAAATTAGTCTATTTTCTTAATGTTTATTAATGTTCAAGATATTTTTTTAGTTTTATTTAAAATATTTAAATTTTTGTACTGAGAAAACAAAATGAATATGAACGATACATTTAGAGTAAATTTAAAATTTAAAATGATAGCAAATTCTCTAATAAAATACTTGCATTGATTTTGCTATTTTCTTTGTTTTGAGCATAATTACTTAAATTGGGTATATAATATTAAAATATTTTTGATTGTTAGTAATTTCTTTATGAGACTTGAAGTTTTACAATTGTTAAAGTATAATATGATCGCAAAATATCTAAATAATAATAGTAGTATTTTCTGTTTATTTTTAAACGTTTTATATTTTCTAAACATCCCAAATATTAGAATGATCAGTTGACAGGATTTTTCTCTAATTTTAAATTGACATCTTCCACAGCATTGTTGTTACTCTTTCTTCACTAAAAGTACAAATTTCTGTCAATTCAAATATATTGGATTAACCTATGGTGGGTATAAATGCATTCAAAATTCAAATTAATAGGATAAATAAAATGGACTACAACAGCAGGCATGGCGCCAAGGGATGGCAAGGTGGGGCTCTAGCCCCCCCCCCCAGAAAACAATGCAGCCCCAATTCCAGCCCCCTAATAAAAAATATGTACATATAATAAAGTTATAAAACATAAAATATCAGAGAATTTATGAAATATACTTTTTAAAAACTAGTGATATTATGTTAATATTTTCGTATTTTCGAAGATATGGATTTTAAGTTTTTGCTGTTATAAAAACCGATTTAATAATATTAATATTTTATACACAAAAATCAAAGATTATTAACTTAATTTAATGTTTGTTGTATATAAGTAAAAATATTTTTAGTTTACTTATTATTTTAATATGTTAAATTAATACACTAATATTGTGTAAGAAGTTACTTAATAAATAATAAAAGAAAGGATTTCTTTAAGTATCTACATTTTAATATATATCCATGAACTATTTTAACCTCCAAAATTCAACAAAAAATACAAAGTAAATTCTTTAATACATAATATACTATGCAAATACCAATTTAAAAATGTATTGAACTAAAAACTTAAAATTTACTAGTTAAATAATATTATTAGGAAGGTAATCACAAATTTTTATTAAAAAAAAATATTATTCCTACTGGTATTGATGCAATTTTATACATTTTTGTTAACTATTTTAACTTTTAAGATTTTCAATCATTTATTGTTTGGTGCATAAACAGATATTGTGTAAAATATCAATATTTAGTTTATTTAATATATTTGTTAATAAGAAAAAAATCTTAGCCCATGTAAAAAAAAAAATTTGCCCGCCCCTCCCTGAAAAAAAGTTCTAGTGTCGTTCTTGTACAACAGCATAGGAATTACATTGTTTAACTGTATGAGTTGATACAAAATTCTGTTAGCCAACTAATTAGTGATTGCATTTAAATCAAAATACCTTAAATACTCAAATGATTTGAAAATATACAATATATTATAAAAGTATATCAAGACTAAAAATATTTAGTTATGAAAAATACAAACAAACTATAAATGATTTCGAGTAATACCGTATAATTATAATTGGTGTGTATTTATTATTTATTTCACTGTACACAATACCAAAATTATGTTATTTGCTTAAAGAACATTTAATAGAAAAAATATTATTGACAATGTCTTACATTTTTTTTATAAACATTAACTTATAAATTAAATTTTCAAATCTTTATCCATAATTACAAATGATGGAACTAATGTTTCATTGTATTCTGCTGGGTTTAAGTAATCACGTTCAGTGACTGTATCAAGAGTGTCATTCAATACTTCAGCATGTAAATTAGATGACTTCAAAATTGGTAGACGACCAACACTTTCAAACACTTTTTGTTCCATAGCTAAACGCAGGGGCATGTGCATTCCTTGTGTGATCATCAAGCCTTTAACTAGAGTTCTATTTTCTTTTGCTTTATACTGAAACATAAAAAAATATTATGTTAGTCATTTAAATTATAAAAATACAAATAAAATATTTTTAATAAAAAACAGAGGCAAGCAAATTGATTTTAAATTAATAAAGTTTTGTGAAAAATGTATAATGTATAGTATATTAAAATATGCTATGTGTACAAAGATATAGAAGTAACAATTCCTAATAAAAATAATGTATAAAACTTAAATTGGAAAAAATAATAAGATTAAATCAAACTGATCAAATAATAGTTGCAATATAATAATAATCCTTAACTTTTTAAATAAAAAAATATTGTGTATACATTTACAGCCTAGGCCGTTTGGATATTAAATATCCAACTTAGATTGTTTGCATATTGGATAAACTAGCCAGGCAGTAAGCATATAATAGTAACATTATAGACCAGACCTCCCAAAAATAATAAGATTCACAATCCATATCAATTGTATCCTTTTATCTGGATATTAGTATATTATTTAAATTTGATTCTTATTAGTATTGTATCATACCTAAACATGATAAAGAATACTTGCTATCTTTATGCATTATGTTGCTCATTAAAATGATGCCAGTTATATGATTCAAATGTTGAAAAATTTGTTAATTTTAAGTGACATGGTATATTTTATAATATTTGTATAACTGTTCTCATTGCTCATAAAAAAATGTCATTTATTATAATACTTTTAAAAACTTATTTCATAATTAACTAAAATTATGGACATTGTTAGCCTTTGACTCAATGTGTCATATCACCCATTCGCAGTATTACTTTGTTATTACTTATTGTTTTTCCTGACTTTTTTTTTGCTAAGTTCTTAAGGGTTATAGCATAATGCAAAATAGCTTATAGTTATAACTTACCTAAAAAATTGGGTTATCAAATATAAAAGTATTTTTCAAATTTAACAGGTAATTCCAGAGATTAATGCATTCAAAGAAAAAAATAACTCTTTAGCTTTATTATATCATGGTATAGATAGTAAATGAGATTTTGGTTCTGTTGGTTGATCACGATTTGAGACAGGTTTTATAGAACACATTAATTTTACATATCCCACCCGATATTAGTATCATTAAGGAATGGTGTAACATGACAATATACAGAAAAATCAATTTTCTTTAGGCTGTGGCATATTTTCTAGCTGAACAGAGTATATGTAAGTTATTAATATACACTAAAAAAAAACGATCTTGTTTATATATTACCTAAACATTTATTTTACCTTAACTGATGTGATTAAGTAGAAATATAGCACTATTTTTTATGGTGTGGAAAAAAATGTTTGTTTAATAAGATAGTTTAAATGGAATTATTTAAGGTGTACTTACATTTCTCAGGTTTTGTTGAACAGGATGATAAATTTCTTTAAAATTCTTTGGCCTGGTAGTGTGAGCACTACAATTATTAAGAGGTTGATTAATTAAAAATACACAAGTAAAATGTATTTTAATATTTTAATTAAAAATATAACTTACCCTAAAATGGCATAGTTACCAAGAGAATTATCAATTAGATCCTAAAAACAGTTAAAAATCAAAAATACAGTTTGTATACAGCAGTTATAACTGTGAATTAATTCTAGTAAACAAAATTAACTTACCATGTTTATTATTTTTTAAAATATTTATTAAAAAATAGCTAACGTTGTCGTCGGCGTAAAAGAAGTTATTGTTTCAATATCTTTCAAATGAGATACAAGTTTTGATTACTGAAGCACGGTTACTTGCAATTTTGGATTGTAAATTGCAATAAAATTATAACAAACACAATGACAATTGACAACCTATATGACTATGACATTTAAAATGATAACCTGAAAAGTTGATAGGAGTTGTTCAGTGTGACCACAAAAAAAAAATATAATAATTTATATGTAGCTATACTTTAGTATAGTAGTTGTAAAAAAAAATCGTTAGATGTCGCTATATGTTTAGTTATCCGCAAACTACGTTTAATATTGAAATAAATAATTACCTATTATTGTAAACATTTTTACTTAATGAACGATTCATTATAGGTAGTCAAGGTTTTGGTTTTTATACGACGTGTTGACTATACAGTGTATTCCAATACTCATAATACTCCTTTACTTATACTTTAATACTCATGACTTATTTCCATTGAGTATTGGTCAATGGTTTTTCTGAAAAAGTCCTTATTTAAACATTGTAGAAACGGTAGAAACTGATGTTTTATGAATATTTATAAAACCGTTTAATTCCATACCCATGACTGGGAACGTATTATTTGTTATTATTATTATTTTTAATTGTGTATAAGTTATACTGGAATACATTGAAAATCTGTACTTAGGTAGGTATTAACAGAAACGTGATTTAAAAATTTTAAATGACCATATTCGAAATTATTTCATACTTAAGTAAGAACTGTATTAAACCCAGAAACCACTGAAATGTATATTGCTGTATTATTGAAACAAGCGAAAACCGAAATTCGGGTGACACTCGAAAGTCTAAATGATCGTCGACCAATGAATGAATGTTTAAATCGGAAAAATGCCTATTTTGATTTCAATTATAAAATTATTCTGTGTTAATACAAGTAGGTACCTATCATAATAATTTAAATCTGATTTAATGAACTTATTCATTCAACTTAAAAAGTCTAAACAAAAGTTTTAACCTTTTATGTATGCGACCCAAATGGTGATAAACAAAATTAATATTCTTCCTTTCATGTCGAATGAAGTTAATGGAAGTCATAGAAATTGTATAAAAGATACAAGCTATTATTTTATTTATATGTGAAGTCCAATAACTAATAAGTACTTAAAATTTTCAACTAGGTAAATGTGTATTTTAAAAATTAAATTTTGTGTAAATAGAGAATATTAAGTAGTAATTAAAAAAATAAATAATCACTCATGTACTTATTATCTGGATAGTTGATAATTAATTGTAAAGGAAAAACAATTTTGAGCCGGAGACGGTGTGTGATTCTCTATTCCAAAATATATTTAACAATTTACTTATATTATTAACTGTTTATAATTTATGATTTTATTAGTAATATGGTTAAACTATTTTTTGTCAAAAATATCGTATACCTGGATTATAAAAAAAGTATTTCAAAATACCAAATCACATATTATTGCAATTAACTATTATATAAAGTTAGTATCTACATTAAAACGAAAGGTATACCTATAATAATTAATTTTTTTAAAAAGGTCTAAATATTTTGAGAATCATTGTATACCTACATAATAATATGGTGAAGAAAATAATAAACACGTAGTGCGGAATGTTTCGAGTCCGTACGGATTATGAAGTAGGTACTGTTTGATTTACAAATAAGCAATAATTAGATATTATAACACGCTTTCAAATAACAATAAAGCAAAAATTATTTAATTTATATGAAGTGAACAAATATTAATATAATAATATGTTAGTATACGAATTTAAACTAATTACAGACCCTACATATTATTTTATTTTTTTGGGGAAGTTTTCGAATGAAAGTGATTGTTCATTATTACTTAATTATACGTATTTTTAGTTTGATGTAGTGGAGTAGTGAATCAACATTATGTAAAGTTCTACAGACTACAGTTGAACCTATTTCCATTTTGTTTACGATAACTAAATACTTATAAGTTGTAATTAATTAACTATTAATTATATTAACTGTAATTTTAATTTTAATTTCTTAGAAAAAATAGATATTTCTTCAAAATATCAAAATAATATATGTTTTTGTTCAAAAAATGAAAAAAATTAAAAAAATATTTATTAACATAATAGTAAAATAAAAATTTTTTTTTCCAAAATTCTTTTATATAATGACCTCAAATAAAGTAAAACTAGTTTTTAAAAAAAGTTGGAAGGTACCTAGTTTTTGAGATCGTAGGTGTTCACTATTAAAATAATTAATCAGTACATTAAAATGTTGTTATATATAAATTTGTTTTTATGTGTTTTATGAATAAAAGTTTTAATGCATTAAGCTGGTTGTTTTTTAATACGGTTTTAAATAAAATACTGCATTGTACAATTGCTGTTGGCTACAGTATGTGTTCATTATTACTGGACTCTGTATATATCATAATGTGAAACATTCTCACCCGACACTTAGTAGTCCTATTGCTGTTGGCAAAGTTACTCGTTTACTGGTACCCGAAGGATTTATATGAGAACATGATTTAATAACGGTCGCATCCATGACAAATGTTCCTTATCATTAATCTTCATTTAAAATTTAAATTTTTTACTCATATTTTTTAAAAACGGGAATTTAATATAAATATTTATTTTGGTTTTACGAATTAATCAAGTACAGCAATAATTAAATCAAATAAATATTTATGTATATATGACAAATAAATAATAGGTATACAGATACAAATACGTGTAAAATGATTATCATTCATTATGTATTTTTGTTTTATTACCTATTAAAGAGTTTGAAATTATTTTATAGGCAAGAGTTTGATTAACAGACATAAAATAGATAGTATAATAAACTATAAAAATAACGTATAATCATATTAACTATATAGTCTGTCTTTTAAAGAATACTTGCATGTGATAACACTTTTGTATTTATACTAAGACAAACGATATTTGTAATATGTTACATATTATATGTATGTCCATAGCTGACTGCAGTTGTTTAAAGAATTAACTACTTACTTTATAGTACTTTGTAATAATATGATTATTGGAAACAGAGAATCCTTTAATAATGCTTCCAGCCACTTTGGTTGGTATGCACGATAGCCTTATTAACATCAATTTTCAATACTGAACCGTCTGTACTCTACGAACGACAACTGGACCTCTCTTTTTAATAGCTAAATCAGTTTTGTATTTATTTGGATTCACGTGATTAGCTGAGTCTTAATTTGTATTATCTAACTACCTCACAATATAATATATATACAACTGCGAGATTGGTAAGGTGTTTGATGGTTATATATTTCACATTAATATTATAGTTTATATACATATTTTATTATACAGTGTACTTGATAAAGTTCTCGAATTTATGACCTTGTGAGCCCTCTGAAGATCAAGAAGAAGGTAATAGTGTGAATTTAACACTCTAATATGGCAACTGATTATATTCACCAACACTTTTAAATGAAGAAAGAATCCTCCTGACCTTTAGTATATTTATTCTTTGGTTATTCAACTTTATTTTATTAACTTTGCTTAATCTCTTGTTTTTACGGTATTACAATTTATTAAGTTTCCAGTATAAATCTTGTTATTAACTAAGTACTATTACGGATATCTTAAAATTAAATTAATTGATAAATCGTTGCATAAAAAACAAAATTTTTAAGGGTATTTTATAATTTATATATGTATGACTATAAGTAATTTATTTTTATATTATAATAATACAGTTAGTTGAATTATTTTTTGGTAAAAAATATAATATATACTTAAAAATAATAATTATTATTAAATTGTATAAAATTATAAAATTATTGTTATTACTTACTATAGACAATAATACAATGGATCGTATATGTTAATATCGATATATTATACTATAATTGAATAAAAATATTTAAGGAATAAATAGATTAAATATTTTGAAAATTTTATTGTGCATAAAAAATATGAATTAATATATTGAATAAAAATCATAAATCTCGAAGATTATTATTTTTTGAAACAAGATAACTAAAACCTTTGAAAGAATAATACGGTTATTATGATTAAATAGAATAATGATTCTCTTAATCAATCTTTTAGTTTTAATTGACAAATATATATATTTAACATCAACAAATATAACCAAATTACCACAATATGTTTAGTTTACAGCAACTGTAGATGTAATTGGTCAGATTTTAGTGATATTAACCAAAAAAAGTTTACATTATACTTTAATAGATTTAAAATTATTTTCAGCAGTGTATCGAGAGAAGAGGAGTCTAAGATCCCCTTAAATTATAATTTCTTGAATTTAGATTTACATATGCTGTGTTAAAAAAATATGTTTATAAATTATTCTTAACTTATTAATACGAGATTAATACGAGTAAGTATGTAAAATTTTTATACTTCTAATATAAGAAAATATATATATCATAAGATTTTGTATTAAGAAGAAATAAACTGGTGTTGTAATTTCATTTGTTTGAATAGTATTTTATAGCCACCTTGGTAGTAAAAATGTTAGCACAGGGGAAAATAAAATAAATGTACAAAGTAATAATATATATAGTCGACATGGTAAAAAAAATGTATTTCCAAGAAGTCCATAATTTCATATAAATCTTTCGCGTGCTTAGTTCCTTGGATTTATTCGACACACAACGATTTAACTGCTTAAAGTAAAGTGTCTAAACTGTATACAAGCTATTTTTGTTTTACAGTTGACAGAATATGGCAGTTATATACACACAATACCGAGACCAGTATAAAGTAAGTATACAATTAAGTTGGATTATTGTTAAATGTAAGACGATTAATTTATCCTACATAGCAAATAATAATTTGCTTATGATGTATGCAACAAAAAATATTTACTAAATACACATTACTTATCAATGGCATAATTAGAAATTTGCGCTGGGGAGGTATATTTTTTTATAATCGCATAACTGTTGGGGCTTCACTACCCACACACCCTTCTTTTCACTCATCTAATTTTTTTTTAATTTATCTGTTATTTTAAAATAAGTAATTAGTTTTTATTAATAATAAATAAATAAATAAACAAAAGTAATTTAAATATTTTTGATAGCTTACATTTATTTTTAAAATTTTTAATAAAATTTTTATTTTTTTTGGCTACTGTATTATAAT